ACACGTGAGCCATCAGTGTGTGTGTATCTGTGGGTGTGCACATGTGCTTATACTGCAAATGGTCCTAGAGGCCAGAAGAGGCTGTCAGGTCCTGTCAGGCAGTGAGCAAACCAACGTGGGTACTGGGAACTGAACCCCTGCTCTCTGAAGAGTGACAAGTGCTCTTAACAACAGTTACTTCCCCAGCACAGCTGCCTGTATACACCTGAAGACTATGCAGCACTTTTCTGTCTGTTTCCACATCCACGCAGCTGAGAACGGTACCACAATGAAGGAGGGGTTTGTCCAAGATCAGCCACCTGACACAGTACTCAATAAATATAAACCACCACTACACTACAGACCATTAATTATCTAGCCATTCAGACATGCAACCTGCTTCATCAGGCCAACAGTGAGATGGGGTCACAGCTATAACACGTATAGGGTTCTATCTGCAGAGGAAGATGAATGTGCCTCATTTCTTTTGAGATGTTCCTTCAGTAAGTACACAGACCAGCTAACTGTTAGCAGTTACATGTTCATCTACAGTATTAATACTTAAATAAAAATTTCAGATTGAAAGCCAAAGATTTAGCAAATTCTAGCATACAAACGTTACCAAGGTCAGGTTGACGTTGGTTATCTTTTTTAAACTGTGAACTGCTATACCAAAGAATGCAAATAGAAAGTAAAAGTGGCTCAGTATTTAATCCCCTCAGAAATATAACAGGACTGGACAATGGTAATTATAGCAGTAACTTTAAAATATGTATATATTGTTTATGAGTAAGCATATGTGCCTGTGATGCGTTTATGTACATCATGGATGTGTGGGTGTCCTAGAACTGAAGTTAAAGCCAGCTGCAAGTTGTCTGACACAGGTGCTGGAAACTGAGCCCGAATCCTCTCCAGGAACAGTAAGGACTCGCAGCCACTGAGTCAGCTCTCTAACCTCTACTGTCCGTCATCATTTCTTTGGTAAATCTATTCTTGTTTTTAAAGGTTTACTTTATATATGTGCAGTACATATGTATGTACTGTGTGTGCACATGTGCACATGTGTGCAGGTACTCAGTAGCCAGAAGAGGCCCTGGAGCCCTGGAGCTGGAATTACAATCACTTGTGAGTCTCTGAAACTCAGATCTTCTGCAAAGAGCAGCAAACATTCTTAACCACTGAGCCATTTATTCAGTCTGTCATGCAGTCAGACTATTTCAACCAGTATCTTGGTTTAAACTTCACTGCTGTTTAGCCTGTTTTGTGATAAACTAAAACAGACATGTGAATTAATCTACTTGGAAAACACAGTGAAAAAGCATCTCCAACTGATTACCTGAAATGACTTCATCCTGTGCTCTACAAACTTTCTAGCTTAAAAGGCTCATCAGAATCCTTCTCCTCAGCCTACCCTCCTTTGTGAAGACTCAGTCACATTAACTCTTCAGTGAAGTTCTGTCTCCACTGAGCTCCTTCCATGTTCTCAGATCTAGTTCTGTGCCTCTGTATGTGGTCCCAGCTGTACTGCCATTTTCCATGGACCATAACATCTATCAGGAGCCTTCTTAAGCCCAGGATTTGGGCTATTCTGAACTGTATCTCATCACAAATTTAGAGTCTTTAATTTGGATCTAGCCCTTTAACAGAAGATTTTACTCTGAAGATTAGTTTTCTCTTTAAGTTTATATAAGAAACTGCTTTCAAAGCCATTAATATATAGACATACACATCTCACACATGCACACATAATTAGTGAGTGGTGCACACCTATAATCCCAGTGTCCAGAGGCTGAAGCAAAAGGATTGAACGTTTGAAATCAGTCTAGATAACAAAACAAGATTCTGTCTTCCAAAATAGATCAATCAATCAGTCACTCAATCATTCAATCAATCAACCAATGCATTAAAGCTAAATCTCATGTGAATAATTTCCTGTCTGTTTTGATGAGAACAACTTTTCTGGTTTTTGGTTTTGGTTGTTTTTAGATACTGCATGTAACAAGCAAAATTAATGCCTGTTGATTAATTAGGCTAGTATTAGAAATACAATCAATTTATATATAATTTTTAATCCAACAATATTAGTTTTTTTACACTTTATGTTTTTTAATCCAACAATATTAGTTTTCTTACACTTTATGGGAATTGCCTCATTTCAGTCAGAATTTCTTAAGAATATCCTCTGAGCACAAGGAGAAGTTCCCATGGGGAGGATTTATAGACTACCACACGGACAGAGATGGAACACAAGCTATTTGTTTAATACATACTAATAGGTAAAAAATTATACATACAACCTGCCCCTCAAATGTTACAATGGATAATAAAACTAATATTATTATAATACTAATTATTTATAATAATTCTAATATATAATATTAATATAATATTGATACTATCATATAATATTAATTACACTAATATTGATAGGAATGTTCCTATGCCAAAGAAAACTGGACACATGTAAATCTGTCCAATTTGTTTAAGTTTTGTTTCGTCGTCACTGGAATTCACTCTTAGACTAACTCCCTGCAGGAAGTTACTTCACCAACATTCGGCTCTCAACTGAAGGATGTCAGGCCAGGAAAGGGCAATGTCCACACTTGTACCTTTGAGGTTTAGATTCATCTAGTGGCCAAGGAGTTTCCTTTCTTCTTTATTCTTTACAGCAAATCAAGTTTATACTATCCTTTCAAATGTCATTACTGTGAATAAACATTATTTTACTAAGATTCAAAATAAGAGGCATAGTTTTATCTGTATTGCTGAATATGTACCAGGAAAGAATAGTGAAGAACAGGAAGTGATTTAAATGTTCATCATCAACAAACAGGTTCTCTCCCATCATGAGAGATTAGTTTAAGCAATTTAAATTAGGGTAAGAGCTAGTCAAATTCTAACAAATTTCATTGGCTGAATGTCAGACATTCTAGGTGCCCGTTTATAAAGCATTCAAATACTAAGAAATCTGTTTAACTGATATTAGGCAAGTATCCTTTTTTGCAATCTCAGTAAGAACACCGTGAAGGGGAAAGGAGGCCAGAGGGAAAAGACACCCCCCACCCCAATGGCAACACCACAAATCTAGTCAGTTAGGTGTGGGGGAAAGTTTAATATAACCAAAGTATATTTAAGACTCGGACAACCACCAAGTGTTTTCAGATCACAGTAAAAATTAAGATACATGTCAGGGATTGACCATTTTAAGTAATTATTAAAAGTTTAGGGAAGACAAAAATCTTACTATTTGAGCACAAAAATCTTTGCTTATAAAGGCAATCTTCTGAGGTGCTATTAACGATAATCATGAATTCATAGAAACATTTAGCATGAAAAGGTCAGTAATAATGTGTTACATCAGGAGAGGAAGGAAGGAAGAAATATGTGAAGACCAACGTTTATCACTCACCTCCTGAGTCAGCTCTGCTATCTGGTCCTTCAGTTCCCTAATGTACTGGTGAGAGTCAGACCTGTTCAGCTGTCCTTGGAGCCTGCCCTCTTCTTTCTGTTTTGTGACAATACAACAAAGCAAAGTCAGTGGGCAAGTTTTACACCATGAGCTAAGATATTTTAAGACCTAGGGCAGCAGTTTAGTTAGCTGAATTCTGAACAAATCCATTCTTCCACTGGAAAGGAATTCAAAATGAATTAAAACTGAGTGTTTCTAAAATGTGGCTAATGGGTGTTGACAAACCACATACCTTATAAAATAACCCTTGAGAAAATCTTAAAATTAATTATCAAACAGATCCTCTGATGGCAAAATTACTCTGAAATTTCAAGAACACTTATATAATCATTTTCTCAGGCAGTTGTTTTTCTACCAACCATTAAAGCCAGTTCCTAGTCAAAACTCCCAAGTGGAGTTCAAGTTACACCTGAAATCTTTTGCAGAAACAGAAAACGTTCTCCAATTCTAGAAAGGGGTAACTAACTGTGATGCTCCTGTTCAATTTGCTCAGAATGTACACTGGGAATCCTAGATATAGCTGATTTTTAAAACACTGCAGGGGCTGAAGAGATGGCTCAGCAGTTCTGAGCACGCACTGCTCTTGAAAATGACCCAGGAGTTCAACTCCCAGCATCCTTGTCAATAACAGCGTGCAAGGTCAGCCCCAGGGATCTGACAGACCAGACACTCTCTCCAGACTCTTCAGGCTCCTGCACTCACATTTGCATAACCCACACAGAGACACATGCACAGAAATAACTGAAACTTACAAACAAGTAAAATAAGTCTTTAAAAGGTGCTCCTGATCTCACAGTTGTTGGTACAGGTGGGGCCGTTTTCCATGGCTACAGCTATTAGGGTAGGAACTGCCTTTTCCTTTCTTCTCACTGCAGATCCTCCAGCTGCCTGTAGTTTACTGTACAGAAGAGGATGGCCTCAAAGTCAAGATCTGCCTGCTCCTGTGTCCCCAGAGCTGAGATTAAAGCTATGTGCCACAAGACTGGCCTGTTTTCTTATACCATGAAAATGAGCTCCTTAAAGAGTGAAAACAGTTTTAAAATACTCTAAAATGTTTAAAATAGGAAACCATGTACTGATAATTTAAATGTTTAGAAGCTGTTATCCAGAGGTAACTGCTCAAAGTACTAAGACACTCCTGAGACCAAAAGAACACAGGCTTACTTTTAACAGTGGCCAATCATTCTGTTTCATTTTAAAAGTATTTTCAAAGGCACAGAACATGAACAGCAAAGTAAAAGAAAATGACTAGTGAGTGAGCCATTCAACTCTTCTTGGCTCTACATCAACTTCACCTCAAACTGTTGTCTCTTCAAAGTAGGAAAAGTCTGGAGTAAAGGGGAGCCAGCCAGCAGAAAGGAAGAACACCCTGAGAATAGGCTGTGAGGACAGAGGGTGCTCACTGAGAAGAAGCCACTGCTGCTCTGGAGTGAGCCACTGTCCATCCACAGGGTGATACCAGTCACTCACTGGATGCCTTCAACAATCCTCTGCTGTGCACATGTCTAGTTTTCATATCCTGTCATATTTATAATCTTGATTAAGTAAGACATAAACTCACTGGGAAGATATAAGCTGACATCAAATTGAACACAAATAAAATAATTAACTCAAGATAAGCTCTTAGACTGTGGGGAAGAAGGTGAAAACCACAGAAAGACCTTAGGTTTGAGGGGCTGGAGAATAAGCAGCAACGTTAATTTATATCCATTCTCTCCTAAGGGGACATTTGCAATGGAGAAACTATTTGGGCAAAACAGGGGTCAGTCAGTCTGTTTAAAACAACTGAGTCAGAGATGTTTCATCCAAAGGCAGGTTTGGCTAAAAATATACTTGCTAGAGCAGATGATGCTTTTTGGAGGAAAGATAGCGCTGATGAAAATAAGGACATCTGAAAACTTTCCAATAAAAAAGGCGGAGGATGCAGACATGGCTCAGTGGTTAAGAGCACTTTTTCTTGCAGAGGACTGGGGTTCGGGTCTTAACACACACACTAGCTTACAACCTCTGCAATTCCAGTTTCAGGGAATCTGATACTCTCTCTGATCTCCACAGGTAGCACATACACACGGAGGCAAAACACTCATAAAATAAAAATCAACAAATCTAAAACAAATTTTTTAAATTAAAAAGATGTAAGGATTTTAATGAAAAAAGAAAGCTATCTTGTGTATGAACTGCCCCCAGAAACCAACGAAAACCCTAAATAAATGAACAAAAAAAAAAAAAAAAAAAAAAAAAAAAAAGGGCAGAAGAAAAACTTCAGTAGTGCCTAGCACACGTGAGGTCCTAGGTTCAATCCTCAATACCACAAAAAACAAACAATAACATAATAATAATAAAACCAAAAACATGTTCCTTGAACTTATACTCCCTGGATAAAAGAAATTTCCAAGAAAAAAGATGCTAATATTCAATTAAGTCAAGTATATGGCAGATAACATATTTACATTTAAAGATGCCTTGGAAAGTGAGTAACAACTGTTAGTGCACGCAGGGTCAACTGAGGGAAAAATCATTAAGCAGCTCCGTGTTTACCTCAGACAACGTCTCCTCACCAGCTGGCAGCACAGCGGCACGTTTACACACACAGCTGCCAAAGGGCTCTGCCTGAGTGTTTGGAATCAATGCACCACTTAACGGGAGATCAATGATATTTTAAAAGGGGAAACAAAGATTCAGGAATATCCTAAATGTTATTTATGATATCTATATCATAATATGTATATAAATGTATAAATGACCTTGTACAAATTCTTGATTTTTAATGTTGTGCAAAAAGACTTTCATTTAAATATTACTTTAAAGCTTTCTAGTAAATACATTCTTTCAGTATAAAAGCAGAATACATATTCACAATGTAAAATGTATTAAAGGCCTACATATTCTAAGAATTATACATTAACTTCATATCACTTCTAAAACAGTTCATTAAATTATTTAATGTTTGAGATATTTTTTCTAAGTATTTTTATGGCTTCCTATTTTCAAGTAGTGTCATATGTTTGTTTCTGATAAGAAAGTGGGAAATGTCAGCTACACTAATAAATTTACCAGAGACTTGCATTCTTGAGGTTTTCTTTTGGTCTAGCTGTTATCAACAGATTGCCAGCTCACTGGTTTACTAAGTAAAAATAATTGGTGAAGAAAGAGGCTCAGTGTATCAACACTTCATGTATTCACCAAGGAGACCTTGCACATGCACTTCCTGTCAGATCATAAATGAAGTTCCAGAGAGTATAAAGTAGTGATTCTAACAGGCATACACGTACACCCCACTAGCTTTGCCATAAGAGTGTCTATCTCAGGATTTCAATTAAGCCTTAAAGCCAAAAATTCTGTGTATAAAGCTTTTAATCAAAAGGTTGACAATCACTTTGCTTATCATCTGGGAAGAAGCCTTGGGTTAGCTCCCCCAGCACATACACACAGAAATAAATAAAAATCTATACCTTGTTCCAGTAATAAATGCTACTTTCATTATATTTTCCTGGGAATTTAATATGAAAAGCTATAGAGATTAAGCTATACCTTCTCCAAAATTTTTGTAACCAGAAGTGTTCTGTATTTGTTTTTTAAATACTTGGAAATACATAATGAGAAGTCTTTCAGACAAAGTGCAAGTCACAGCATGACATTTATTATGTATTAAAATGCTTGTACTTTGGTTTGTTCCTAAGCCTGTGGCCTTACATGTGAGAGGGTGCTATCCCAAAGAGCTATGTCCCCAGCCCACTTTTTTCATTTAGAGATGGTTCTTGCTAAGTTATACAGACAAGATTCGAGCCCAGGCCTTGCTTGAGCTTGTGATTTCCTGCCTCAGTTTCCTAAGCGATAGGATTACAGAGTAAACCACCACACCCAGCTCACAAACATACAAACTCGTTATTCACATTTGCTGAAAATACTTCTCAATGAATTTTTAATGCATTTACATTGATTGAGATTTGTAGGTTATGTGTAGAATTTTCCATTTGTTGTACTGTGCCAGCTTCAAAAAAGTTTATTTTAAATTCTCAGATTAGAGATATCCAACCTGTATCAAATGCCCAGAATAGGAAGGCACAGTCCAGAGCTTCCATCGGAAAATGTGAAAGTCACACTATTTGAGCAATCACTGCAAACTACATGTGATGAACTTGTCTGGTCTAGACTCTCTACCAGCCGACCTCCTGGGTCATGACATAATGCCAATCCCACTCACACTGCAGAATGAGGACAGGTCAAGACCACAGACTCTTCTTCAAATATTACAGAGATGTATGACAAGTTGCTCTAAAATTGGATTCTGGGGCTAGGTGTGCCACTTAGTGCTGAGTGCCTGCACTGCACAAGAACCCAAGCTCAAGTTTTAGAATCTATTAAGAAACAGCCTCCACACACTAGTAAGAATAATGCCACCAGAGACTTGAGTGGAAATTGCCCATTTTGAAGATGCCATTCTTAGAAACCAAGAATTTGGTATTTAAAGTTTATATTGAGCTGGGCAGTGGTGGCGCACGCCTTTAATCCCAGCACTTGGGAGGCAGAGGCAGGCGGATTTCTGAGTTTGAGGCCAGCCTGGTCTACAGAGAGAGTTCCAGGACAGCCAGGGCTACACAGAGAAACCCTGTCTCGAAAAACAAAAACAAAAGTTTATATTGAGAGAACAACATGTAATATAATTTGAAATAAAGGTGTAGTAACCTTAAGAGCATTATAGCAGGGGGCTGGAGAGATGGCTCAGCGGTTAAGAGCACTGACTGCTCTTCCAGAGGTCCTGAGTTCAAATCCCAGCAACCACATGGTGGCTCACAACCATCCATAATGAGATTGGATACCCTCTTCTGGTGTGTCCGAAGACAGCGACAGTGTACTCATAAATAAAATAATGAATAAATCTTAAAAAAAAAAAAAAAGAAATGAGATGTTTAAAAAAAAATTCAATTGATTAAAAGAGTTGTTTTTTAAAAAAAAAAAAAGAGCATTATAGCAAACACACTGGTGGGTGGGGTAAATTTGTAAAATGAATGACTTTGATAAAGTTTTATACACAG